TGTGGGACCGTGCCAGGCGTTTCCCACAGAACTGGCCCCAGCTGAACCGGGGGCGGGTGGTGTCCCGGGACGCTCCCCGCTCTTTAGGAGGGATGTGAGTGTGCCCGCAGCTCCCCGCCTCCTGGTCGCTTTATCTTTCACCCTCGACTGCTCTTTCATCCCGAAAGCTCTTCCCTTGCTCCGCATCTCTGCGCAGCTTCACGCGGCTTCTACTGCTGCGCTGCAGTGACTCGCCCGCGGAATGTTTTGGTTTCATTCGATAGATGAAACCTCCCCTACCCCCACCCCTCTCACCGCCTTCCTTCGCATCTGTGGTGCTGGCAACTGGCCCAGGATGTGCAGTAGTCGGCCCTTACCCTCTGGCAGGTTTTTCTTCTGCTACCTCGCAGCCTTCGGCGTGAGGAGCTGGTGCGTTATTCTGCTGAGAGAGGAGGTGCTTTAGCTTGCCGTTGCATCAGCTTCGGATCTCAGGCCGAGGTCTGTAGCAAACACGCCTGGGTGCCATCCCCCGCTCCAGCCTTTGCTGTGAAGAGCAAAAGCTGTTGGATGGCTTCGATTTCCTTTCTTTTATGCATTAGGAAGTTTGGGGCCCCGGAGGCTCTTTACCCTTAGTGCTGGTGGTTGACCCGGCGGGGCGCGGGGGTTGTAGGCATGATGAGCAGGCGACCTTCAGCGCAAGGGCAGGCTGCACTGCTGCGATGGGCAGCAGCATTCCGAGGCAGGAAGAGTGTGAGGGGCAGGAGCAGCAAGCGACCTAAAAAACCCTAAAAAGCTCCTTTCACATCACTGTTAGCCCTGTGACAAATCCTGCCCCATAAAGACAGCAGCTCCTGGGCTCCTCCTGCAAGCAATTTTTCTTGGCAAAAGGGCAAGATGTAGCTGTTACTGGAATAAGCTGAAGCCTCTCAGACTCGGGGGCATAGGCAAGAAGCACGATGGTGCAGGTGCTCTCCAGAACCCTTAAACTTCTTTTGGCATAGCACAGGGAGTTTCTTAAGAAGGAAATTCGTAAGAACAAGCTCTGCTTTTTCACCCAGTGCTCTCATTTGAGCATTTCCAGTCTGCTTTGCATGGTTTACCAGCTGCCCCAGGCGGAAGGAACCACTGTAGCTATTTTGAAGACACCTTGTGGCATTCTCTGGCCTGCAGCTGCGTTACATTTCTGCTCTTCCTGACCCCCGTTGTGAGCTCTTTCACTCTCCATAAATTAGAAGCAATTTCCATGCAGGCAAGGCTTAAATTACAGTTAAGCATGTGCTATTCTGTTTTGCCAGATCAGGCCTCAAAACACACTGCCCGGGGCAGTGCTAAGGCTTCTTTAGAGCCATAGAAGAGCAGGGTCCAATTCCAGGATCCAGGAGGTCTTTGCCCATCTCTGGTTGTCTGAAACATGATGTTGTGTAAAAGGCAGACAAAAGCAAAAGCATGGACAGCCCTCGTTCCCTGGAACTGTGTGCCACCAGCTACAGAAGAGCCATTTCCTCCCAGCCCGCAGCCCTCCCTTGGCTGAGGGGGAAGGACTCACAAGAGACACGGCCTGCGGGTACGAGAGTCCCTGGGCACAGAGCAGGGAGAGTTCCAGGGCAGAGGCAACACCTTTGTGTTAAAACGTGGCCAAATTAGTGCAAATCCCAGGGCTGCTCTGCATCAGCAGGTATGAGCATGGCAGGAGGAGGGAAGGTAGGAGCCTTGGAAGGGAGCTGTGGAGCGTGAAGCAGGGGTATGCAGTGTGAAGGCAATACAGTTTCCCTCCTGCGGGTCGGTAAGGAAAACTGTCTGTGGAACAAGCTTTGAGAAAAGGCACTGAGACCTTCACCTGGTTTTACCCCAGAGCAGCGTTCGACTTAGATCCTGTCATGTCTTTCAGAAGTACCTGAGGCATCGTTGATGTTGGCAGGAGGAGCCGGGGCTGATGGCATGGAACACAAGGGAGAAGCAGAAATGCCTGTGACAGTGTGGGGATGAATGCAAAGCACCAATCTCTGCTTGCAGCTGGCTGGAGAGCAAAAGCCAGATCTAATTCCCTCGGTGCCAAATGTGCAGAGCTACTGTTGTCCCTCAGCCAGATAATGGGAGAGGAGAAATTATCCAAACATAGCCATCTTCTTTTCCCCTTTTCTGGCTTTCTTCAGTTTTGGCTGTGGGTTTTCACCTGTCACTGCATGTCTGTTGGTAAAGCAGTCCTTGAAAACTCCATTCTTGGGGCAGTTTCGCTAGGTGCATGCACTACAGGACCAAATAACCCCCAACAAGAGTCTTGCATATCCGAAAAAGGACTCGTCCCAAGGTAAAATAGCAGCAGTGCTTGCGTTTTCCCGGCAAGGAAAGTTCAGGCCTGAGTGTGAATTCCTCCAGGGACTGAAATCGATCATTGCTTCTGGATTTAGAACGAACCCGTGACTTTGCAGAAACACCGCAGTTCTACAGCTTCTTGGCTCTTCCACGTGTAGCGGTCACTGAACTGTAGCTCCGCTCAGCCCCGTGGTCTCGGCTTCGCTCCGTCGCGCTGTGTTAGCCGATCTCACGGGCTGCTTCTGGCTGTGCTGAAGCCTGCCCTTGCTCAAAGAGTTGTGGCAGATGCGCTGCGTTCCTCAGCCCGCGGTGCGGGGGCCTGTTTGATTACTGTGTAATGTTGTCAGCATTTATCAGGACCAAGACCAACAGCCAAGATTCCCCTAGGAAGCTCGTTACGCAGGAGGTCAGACTGGCTGCTCCTGTTATCATCTGTCATTGTGGCCATGGTGTAGTGGGAGAAGGTGTCGGAGTGGGTGGATGTCCCTCTGCCAAGGCCCTGCGTGCACGGAGGGACGCAGCTACCCCACAGTCTGCCTTCCAACTCTCTAACCTCCTTCTTTTATGTCAGAGAGTGGATGTTTGGCTTCAAATGAATCCTTTAATTTGTTAGGGTCTCTGAACCAAGGGGTTTGGGAAGGTATCGAGAGAATTTATCTGGCATGGGATGGGACTCTTTAGCCTCAGAGCAAAGGGAAACAGAAATCCGTGATAGAAAAGGGTGGGGGGGGGGTTGAACCAAGCTGTAATGAACCAGTGGGGCTGTTACCCAAGGATGAAATCTTTAAGCCCATATTCGTGGTCTTTTTGAATGACGAGCTCTACAGAGCACAAGCTGAAGGTGGTACGATGTTGCCTGAACGGCCTTCTCTGCCCTGTACTCTGCAGGGTGGTGGTAATGCTGCCGCCAGACAAAACCCAACGTGAAACTTGCTCTGCCCTTCTTCCCCAGCAGCTGTAACTTACACTTTGCTGTGGCTCATTCGTTCCCAGGTCCATCACCAGAGCCTACTACAGGAACTCGGTTGGCGGACTCCTCCTCTTTGACATTACAAACCGCAGGTCCTTCCAGAACGTCCACGAGTGGCTGGAGGAGACCAAGGTCCACGTCCAGCCATACCAGATCGTCTTTGTTTTGGTAGGTCACAAGTGTGACCTTGACACACAGCGGCAAGTCACCAGGCACGAGGCTGAGAAACTGGCTGCTGCGTATGGTATGAAGTACATTGAGACCTCAGCCCGGGATGCCATTAACGTGGAGAAGGCCTTCACTGATCTGACGCGAGATATATACGAGCTTGTTAAAAGGGGGGACATTTCAATCCAGGAGGGATGGGAAGGGGTAAAGAGCGGGTTTGTCCCAAACGTAGTGCACTCTTCAGAAGAAGTGGTGAAATCAGATAGGCGATGCTTGTGCTGAGCTCTTCTAGTGAGGCAGGTGGTGATGAACTCTACTAACAGACGTACTTTACTAAGTGAACTCGGTGTGACGGAAGGGAGAGCGACACTCCCATTGTGAACAGCCTCCCGCGTTGTGCTGGATGCCAGAACAGACCCCGGAAAGAAATGTTCTGTTCCAAATAACCTTTCAGAACTGGGGGCTGCAAACCTGAAGGAGAGTGAGTGAGGGTGCATGTAGATGTTGTAAGGAGACAGGAAGCAGAAACGAGGGGCTGCACGAGACAGGAGAGAGTATGCAGAGAGCTGAATGGGCTGGCACATGCCAGGGTACTGCACGTGTCCTCTTTTCAGTAGATCCATAGCTTCATGCTGGGGATTGAAGCCGCAGTGTGGGTACTCGTATGACAGATGTGCAGACAGAGAGAAAGAGAGAGGACATCTTCGTTTGTGTCAGCTGTTTGTCAGCAGGAGGGTGTCCAGGCAGCGCAGATACCGTTTCCCGTAAGGCCAACTCCGCAGAAGTTTACTGACATGGTATGCACACTTCTGCATTTTCTTTATGTTCTTGAACCTAGTTCGATAGCGAAGACTGTTCTGTGGGATTTAAAGAGGAAAACAGTAGTTATTTGATTGGTAATGAGAATTTAAATTATTCTCCCTCCCCCCACCCAGTAGTGCTTTTCTTGCTGTGTTGAACTGGGATTGAAGTGGCAACTCCTGCTCCAGTAGTAACAATCCGATGTTTTTACTGCCTCGGTGGGTACCTTGGAAGGACCCTGAGTTCGGGGCTTTCCGGTAGAATTAAGTGATCAAGAGCGTGAAGAGAGAACCACGGCCTCCTCGGTTCCAGCTTAAGGCTGGGGTGTTGCAGCCAGGTGGGACACACCTGCGTTCCTGTCGCGAACAGCGCCGTGCTGACCTTCTGGGTGTCTTACCAGCTAGGTCACACGGAGGAACGGAAGGGGGGAGGGGGAGGGGAACCCCAGCAAAATAACAAACTTGAAAAGCTTAACTCAGGTGCATCAGACATCCTAAAGGGTGAGATTTGCGTTTGAACAAGTCAAAGAGCATGGAAAGCCACAGCTTCCATCAGTACTTTGTGCTGTTGAAGTGTCATTTTCTTTCTTGGCATCTGTGGAAGAGGAGAAGTAGCCCTGGGAAGGAGGAGCTCACAGCAGCAGGTGGAAAGGAAAGCCCCGAGACAAGCTCCAGAGTAAAGTTTGGTTTAGTCTGACAAAAGAGGATCCGTCTCAGGTGGGTCATGATGGGATGGCAGCCCTGTTAGGAAAGCTGTAGGTAGGCGGGTGCTTTCGGGCAGTGCCATTCACCACTCGGCAGCTTTGCTTCTGCGAATTTTAACGTCGGCTACAGCAGGGTAACCGTGCTCCCCTAGGGAAATGGGGAAGGGCAGCCTGTTAACAGCAAACACAACTACAGTGGCTTTTGGGTTTTACTGGAGTTTGCAAGCTTTGTCCACCAAATCTGCTAATGGGCAGGAGGGAGGGATTAGATAACAACACAGGAAGCATCTAGTGTTTGGGTTTAGGCCTCTCAGTAGCGAGTAAAACACTTGTTACAGCTCTTTCTTTAAGCTGCCCTGTCTAGGAAAGTGTGGGTCTTCTGGATTGCTGTGTAGTTCAGACTGCTGCTCCCTTTGAACCTGTTCTCACCGTTGGCAGCGCATGGGCAGGGCTGTGTGATATAAAAAACCCCTGTGGATTCCATATTAAAGCTGTAAAAAAACCCTCACCCTAAAAACAAGCCCAAGAAACCCAACCCGTGACCCAAACCCCTGAAAACTAGTAACACCTTCTTTTCAGTGTTGCAGGCACAGCGGCAGTTCCGGGGCTCTGCAGGGGAGCCGCGGTGTTGCTCCTGCTGGGAGGGCACTGGCAACAACCTGGAGGAAGGGGGGTGGCCAGGGTCTAGCTCCTTGCAGAAAGCTTGTCACTGCTAACCCCTGGTCCCTCTTGAACAGGCTACCAGCGTCTCGCGAGCCTTGTGCTAAAGCCCAGTCAGCTCCAGGCAGTTCCAGTTGCGGTCGAGTTCAGTGCCCTGAAGACTAAAACCAAATCCCTTTACCAAACCTCTTTCCAGGTAAGCAGAGCTGGAGGGGCGGTACAGCGCCCGCCACAGGAGCTTGGCTGCCTTGGAGGGCGCGAGCTTTGCTGGGCCCATGTCCGTTAGCCGTGCGTTCACAAAGGCCAAAGCCGTGGGAGAGGGTCAGCTGCTTCCCTCTTGGAACGGGACATGTGAGGAGGGACCGCGCTGGCCTTTGGGGGCCCGGCCCTTGGCGAGCTGGGTCGCGGGTAGCCTGGCGGAGGGCAGCAGAGCTGCAGTGCCACGCTGACACGGTCAGAAGTTGGATCAACCGGCCTTTTAGCAGTAGCAGAATTCCGTAGTTCCCTGGCAGGAGCCTGGCCAGCAGGGAAAAGGTCGCTTTTCATGAGACAGCCAATATTTTATTTAATGGGTTTTGGACATCCCCCTTCGCTGCTCCCAGAGAGAAATTCCAGAAAGCCTAAGCGCGTGCGGGCATTCAGGCCATCAGCATAAATCCCGATTTACAAACACAAGTGTCCTAATTCTAAAGAGGAACAGCGCAGAAGAAAACGTACGCAGTCTTAACTACTTAAAGGAACAAATGGTTCTATTAAATGATAGAGAAATCATTATATACATCTTTTTCTAACTCCTTGCATTTTCTAGACAGCTTATTAAAATATAGGAAATGTAGATTCATCTGTATAAAACTTGGAATGTTTTTTCTAAGATGAAGAACTTGTAGGATACGCTAAGAATTCTTTTCTAACAACTGGTTTTAATGCTTTGACTTCTAGTGCAGGAGGGATTTAGGGAAATGAGGGGGTGGTACCTTTCACAGGATAAAGGTCAGGAGCTTTTTGCTCAAGGATAAAAGGAAAAAAAACCCATAAAAGGCCAAGCTAACTTTCTGTGGGCTCTGCCACACGTTCAGACCAACCTGCATGTTCGACTGCAATTGCTCAGAACCTCCAGAATAAAAGCATACTCTACACGTCCCTCGCTTTCGGTTATGCACTGTAACCAAATGTGAACATAACGCTGTATTTAGCTCTCTGTACGTGACTGGAACTCTGCTTGTATTTAGCAAAATGGTTACGCTGTGATAATGTGAAATTTAAAACTTGTAAAGAAACGTGGGTGGTTTTTTTTCCCTTTCCCCTCTCCGTGTTCCTTGGCGGGAAGCTGGCTGCTGCCTGCGCCGCTCGCAGCCTGCCCCGCCAACTCACTTCCCTGCAGCAGCGTCTGCTACGCGCTTCTCTCCCAAGGGCTGCTGCCGGGATCTTCGGACCCAGGCACCTTGCCGAGGAAAACCAGCGCCACCCCAAACACCACCCCTGCTCCCTTGCTGGGCAGCACCGTGTCGCAGCAGCCGCTGCAAACCCACCTCTTCTTCCTCAAAGAGAGACGCCGCCGCGAAGGACGGCAGGATCGGTCGCCGAGTCCCCGGAGTTCTTGTCTGCGCGTTTTGGGT